GAAGGCTACAAGTATCTGTATTTGAGCGGTTAACAAGCACGCTATAATCTCAGCTTTAAAATTGAAATTATATGTCAAAATGTAAGTTGAAAAATCGCTGGCCAATACAATGATGGTAGCTCCGACAGTGGTGGAAAGTGCTGGAAGGCTGAGGAGGTTGCGCTAATTACTAAAGAAGGTTTGTAAATGCCTAGCTACGTATAATCGTCTTCTTCGAGGAAATCTATGCAGTTTTTCGGACTGTCAATTGGCTTTCCGTGGTGGAGGTCCACGATGGTTCCACTTATCCCTAGGTGATGCGAACTTCGTTCCAGTTTGTCCAGCGTCCGAAGGTATGTTAGCCGTGGGCAAATCTGGGTTTACATCTAAGTAAAATACTATGATCCTTTAGGATCTCAGATTGAGGTCCTGTTGCGACGGCAATAATTTGCAGTTCCGGGTGATAGATTTGGGCTACCAGCACCATTCGTGACAGTTTTTGCCGTTTCGACACTCTGCAATATTTTATAGTTTGATTGAGCGCAACTATATTCCTTTATCGGTTCAGAGAATGCAGCGCGTGAATATTGTAAAGTTCATTTGAGCTCTTTCTGGATTATTGGATTTCTATTCTCATTTTTGAAGCCACGCTGTTTTAGGGATTCTCTACCATCCTGTCTAGGTATCGCATTTGACATTTTTCTTCGTAAATTCAGCGTCTGTTCGCCAAAATGGCGCAAATCATTGTTTTCAGTATGTAGCTCGGCGTTCATCCAGCAACAACAACAAAAATGTTGGTCAACTAAAAAGATGACAAATGCAGTCTTTTTTATTTGAGAAGGTGGATCTAGAATACGTCCATGTAATAGGGGTGGTGCGGACGAATGCGGTAGCTTTGAAAGTCAATTGCCACTGCGATGCCGATCGACTCTGCCTTGGAATGAACTGCAGTGGGATTGTTGTTATTTTCGCCCATCCACTTCTTGAATTGCAGCTCTTGCAGCTTGCTAAACAGTTGCTTCGTGTCTGCAGAATGCTTGCCACGTAATGAACGGGATAGCATTGCAGCAAGTTTCTTACTGCCGTACCGCTTCTCCAACAGCGTAAACGCGTCAAGTCCATCTGGATTTAACTTATGCACGTAAGCCATCCAGATACTGAATGCCGACCTCTCAAAGATCTCGTCTCCTGTCTTGTCCAATTTGAGAAGATTAAAAACTTGATTGATTGTTTTTCCGTCCGTTTTCCACAGGTTCAGCACTGTATTCTCAGCCTCTTTCGAACTCGAAACAAGGGTCGCCAGTTTTGAATCGTCGAATCTATCCCTCAGTACCGAATATATAATCTTGTTAGGTTCTTGTTCATTTTTGTTCAGATACGAAGTCCAAATCTTCCAAACGGGGCTGTCAAACACTTTATCTCCTTCCTTGTCGAGTTCAAGCATTGTGAAAAGTTTGTTACCACTTTTTCCATCTTGCTTCCATTTGTCAAGCACACGGGACTCAAAGTTCGTGCCAATCCAGTAATTATTCCTGTCTTTTTGCGCTAAACCGACCATCCTCGCCAATCCTGCATCATTGATGCCTTTCCTGTTGATTGCCAGCAATAGCAATTTGTAGGGGTCCTTACCCAGACTATCCACATAACGCATCCAAAATTCCAGCACTGGATTTGTCAGAAGACCAGTTTTTTCATCATCCAATTTCAACAGGTGAAATACGCCGCTCTCAGTATTGTCGCTGTCCTTCCATTTCTTCTGCAGTGACCTCCCCAGATCAGCAGCAAAGTCGCTATTCACATCGTACCTCGATAGAGCAATCATTTTCGCTACTACAGCGTCGTCATATTTTTGCGCGCTTAGTTTTACTTGTAGCTCGTCGATCGGATTCTTCCCCAGCTTTGAAACATAACTCACCCACGTGCCCAACGCAGGACTCTGCAAAAGCTTCTCGCCTTCTGCGTCAAGTTGGAGAATCTTGTAAACTTCATCCGCATCTTTCCCAATATCCTTCCACTTGCTAAGCTGTATCTTTTCCAACCGAGTGACGATCCAGCTTCCACTCGAGTGTTTTGCATCAGCCAATATGCGTGCTAGAACGTCGTCACCATAATACTCCGCCATTGACTTGAACATCGCTGCGTCCGCTTCTAGCCAATCGTTCTTGTACTTTTTGCGTGCATAGCGAATCCATTCATGAAATAAACGGCTTGAAAACATCTTAGACTTCTCCGGTTGATCCACTTTTAGCGTTTTGAAGTGCTTGGTAACCTTTTCCTGCTTGTCTGGCTTGAACCCACTCTTTATACTCTCACCTAGCTTCTGCAGGTTACTCTTTTTAACGAGTTCTTCCACCTTCGCAG